AAACAAACACAAACAAACACAAACAAACACAAACAAACACAAACAAAACCACAACCAAACCAAACAAAAACAAACAAAACCCGAACAAAAACAAACAAACAAAACCCAAACAAAAACAAACAAAACAAACAAAAACAAACAAACAAAAAAAAAACCCCAAACAAGACTGACTGAAGAAAATGTATTTCCAAAGGGTGCAGGTAACTTCCGCTGTCACATACATGCAGGGTGTGCCTTTGATGTAATATCCTGTTATAGCTGCATTTAAGCTTACAAGAGAATATTTTAGGAACATTATTATAGTCATAGACCCGAAATATCAAAGAGTTGCCTCCAAACATTTTTAAGTATTCTATGCTCTGATTTCATCCATACCATAAATGCTTTTAAACATTTTTGCTACTGCACCTTGAACAAACTAGAAAAATAAGCCCACTGTGGTACCTAAAACTAAGAGGAGACAGCAGTAGAAGAAGGTCTAATTTGTTACAGAAATTACAAATAGAGACATGGTCTAATTTTTAATGAGTTATTATGAAAATTATTGAAACTGCATATCTATGTTCCCTTAAATTCGAAAACATCATTAATAGTTCAAACAGGAAGAATTGCATCCTTGAACCACTCAAAATAGTTTTTAAGTTAAATCCATCAGTTACTTTAGGTGTTAAATCATACTGTATTTTATGTATATTATGTCAGGCAAAGGCTGAGATAGATAGTTCAGTAAACCTTTTGAACAGTATATAATCAGTTAAATACACAAAAGCTGCGAACATGAACACCTGGTAAGAATTCCATCATCCAACCTGAACAAGTAAAAGTCTCTCTCTCTACAATGACTCAGAAGCAAATGCACCTTCCCCCAGATGCTTGCAAGAACAAGAGAGGTCTTAGTTTTCCCTGAAGATAAATAAATCCAAGTTTTGTAAGCTAATCTTGCATATGAAATAAAAGCACTGTGTGGCAGCATCAAGTCAGACCAGCATTATTAAAAAAGCTAAGGAAATCTATTGTCCTCAGTAAAAAAAAGAAAAAATTTATTAAGGCTTCTAAAAAACTTAATTCAGTCACTCCAGAAGGCTGTGACTGAAGTAACTTTAAAGGGGATCATAAACAAATGAATGCTCAGGAAACACAGGTTCGTATGCTTGCATCTGTTGCATTTATGACAGCATTTCTACAGAAAGAATTTAGCCTAGGATTTACAGGTTTTTCTGAGCCCTATAGTTACTCTTTCTATCACAGCTGTTACTAATTTATCCCACTTTATTACATTTAAAGTTAAGTCAGTATTTCTGCTGGGATTACCCACGTTTTCCCAGGGCATTTGTTAATTTCTAATTCACCAAAGCCGCTTTCTTCACCCACACTTTTCCCCCTCGGTGCCATGGCAGAATTCCTGACTGCAAATCCAAACGTTTGTATTGCCCCCTGCTGGAACTCAATTAGGAGAGCACTAAAGCAGTCTATGCAACTCAATTTCTACACTAGTTTTAAAGAATGCATTTTCCACAGGGACACACTGAACATAGGCTAGAGAGCTACTTGAACTATTTGTGTACCTTCCCAAACCCTCACAATCCACACGTGGACAAGGGGTCATTTCAATATATCAGCTGCTTGCCTACTTGAGGTGCTCTGGTTTTTGGAGAACATAAGCAAAGTTCAACACTCTCCTCTAACAAGGCTCCCAAAAATCAGTTGTAGTGAATTTCCTACTTCATCTTCTCCCTGCAAACTCCTTTTTTGAGAACAAAAAACTGAAATTTCCAAGAACCAATTTATTGGCTTCCCTCCAAGCAACTATAGCACAGCAGTTTTCATTTGATTCCAAACGAATGGACAGAAAATTCTTTTCAAAAACAGGTGTGTTTTCAGAGCTCCAGTCTGCATACTGTTACAAGTTTTACCAGGCTTTATCATGGACATTAAGAAGCAACAATGAAATAGCAAAATATTATTGTTTGGGATCAAGCACACCCTCAGCAAATTCAGTGACAACACCAAGCTGTATGCTGCAGTTGACATGCTGGAGGGAAGGGATGCCACCCAGAGGGACCTTGACAGGCTTGAGAGGTGGGCTGATGCAAACCTTGTGAAATTCAACAAACCAAACTGCAAGGTCCTACACGCAGGTCACAGAAAACCCAGACACACCTACATGTTGGGCAGAGAAGTGATTGGGAACAACCCAGCAGAGAAAGACTTGGGGGTGATGGTTGACAAAAACATGAGCTGGCAGGGTGCACTCCCAGCCCAGAAAGCCAAACAGAATCCTGGGCCGCAACAAAAGCAGCATGGCCAGCAGGTTGAAGGATATGATTGTGCCTCTCTGCTGTGGTGAGACCCCATCTGGAGTACTGTGTACAGTTCTGGTGCTCCCAACATAAGGACATGGAACTGTTGGAGCAAGTCTGAAGGAAGGCCATGAAATTGATAAAAGGACTGGAGCATTTCCCCTACAAAGACAGGCTGAGAAAGTTATGGCTGTTCAGCTTAGAGAAGAGAAGGTTGTGTGGAGACATCATAGCAACCTTCCAGTGTCGAAGGAGTCCTATAGGGAAGCTGGAGAGGGACTCTTAGGCAGAAACTGAAGTGATAGGACAAGGAGGAATTAGTGCAAATTGAAAGAGGGGAAATTTAGGTTAAATAGTAGAAAGAAATTCTTTCCTGTGAGAGTGGTGAGACCCTGGAACAGGTTGCCCAGGGAGGCTGGGGGTGCCCTGTTCAAGGTCAGGTTGGATGAAGCCTTGAGCAACCTAGTGGGAGGTGCCCCTGCCCATGGCAGGGAGGACGGGACTAGATGATCTTTAAGGTGTCTTTCAACCCCTTAACATTCTATCATTCTGTGATTGTTACTGACTACCTGTGACCTGCTACAGGTTGGTTCACTTTGCAGATAAATGTACAATCACTGAATGCCTTGGTATTAAAATAATTAAACAGTGTAAAAATAGTAAACTTACCATCTGAGGTACGCCGAAAACAACAATATTTGTATAATGGGAAAAAGAAACCTAAAATAAAAATTGAGAACGAGTCTTAATGAAAATGGCATTTATATTTGGAGACATTCTCACCATTCTTTTCTCCCCATCCCTCTAGCTGCACTTCTTTCAGCAGGAATTTAGACAAAAATATGAAAGGAGATCCCATGTTAACTTTTCATCACATAAATTTCCACAAAAAGAAAACTTTATATTGCTGAACAGCAAAAAATTCTACTGTCTGGCCAAGATTATGGCACCAATCCTAGTAGCACAGGAAGAATTAATTTAGAAAATACCTACATGATTTTATTTATACCTAGGTTTGGAGTTTTTTCATAGCTTCTGTAAATGTTAAAATCATGTATAGTTTAAGTTTTTGTTAAATGTTAGCTAGCTATAAAAACATACCAGGCATTCTAGTGCCTGGGTTCTTCCAGTCAGTGCCATGGAGTTTTCCTATGTTCCTCTCTGAAAAAAAAAAAAAAAAATCCCAAACCCACAAAAAAAGCCCCACGTAATTCATCAGCCACAGGCCTGCTCCAGGAGCCTTTACAGATAAAGGGCAGCACATTAACAAAGCACAGAACCAGCAGAGCAGTGCAGTAAGCCCGTAGAAACTTGACTCCCAGCACAAGTACTTTGCTCAAAGCCCAATACAGCACCTTGTTGCCAGTCAGCATTCCAGTTCCTTCAGGAAAATATTTCCAAATCACAAAAATCTCTCAGTCATACCAGATTCCTTCTTACATACTTCACTACCTACCTTCCATAAGTCTGAAATATAAAATTTGGTATTCTGATGTACTCCATCTCTCCAGGCTCTGTATCTGGAGTACCAAACTAGCCAGGGATTTAATTCATATCCAACAGCTTTGAATCCCTTTTTTGCAGCTGCTATCACCTGCAAGAAAGAAAACAAATTTTCACTTAGAAACATAAAAGCCTATTCATCTAAACAGTTGCACAGAGTTTTATTTAAAATATAAATCAAAAGAAAGCACTTGTGTAAGTCACTCAGATTTAGATGCCCAAGAGTATAGTGTAGTATAGTGAACAGAAACTCAAAACTGTACTTTACTATTATGACTAATCCAATTGAAATTAGTATATTCAGACAAACAAAATGAATTCATAAACATTCATAGGGCAAAACTGTGACCTTGTAGTACATGTATGACTTACATAAAGTTTAATTAAACACATTCACGACACTATCTTGGAATTAAACAGTACCAAAATTGACCATGGAGAGAACAGTGAAACATACAAGTTAAAATGCTCAAAATTAGGCCACTTGTTTGAAAAGCAGTGAGGGGTAGGCACTTGAGCAGCTCCTGAATCAAAGCCAAAATGACATACTAATAGCAAGAGTCTGAAAGTAATCTCTTGATCTATATTTTCAAAAAAAAAAAAACAAAACAAAAGGACACCAGTTTCTAGAATAAAGGTTTAAGACATAATTTAAAAGGTTACTGACAAGTTTTAATCCAGAAACTTCTGATGAACTATGAATTTTTATTCTTGTAATCTATCAGTCATTTCTCATTCTCCTTTTCTCTTACCACCTTTATACATTAAGCTTGAACTGCAGCTCCAAAAGCACAGTGCTATTTAATCTCACAGCGTCACTTGCTGCAGCTATACACCTATGTGGAATCACAGCACCAATATTTTGATGGCATCTGTTCATGTGAACGCAGGGCAATTCCCTCCAGTCACCACGACGAGGCTATCATTTTGTATGCTGCCTTGGTCAAGCTGCAAGACTGGAGCAAAAAGTGCTTATTACTCACCTAAACTTTCTCAACTTTGATCCTTTGCATAAGACTCAAACAAAACCACTGGATGCCAAAGACAAAACATTCGTAAGTATGAGAAAACAGCAGCCACAGCTACAGAATTTGGTACTTTTTTGAGACACGGTATGAAAGGAAGGCAATGTCCATAACTTACAATGCGGCCATCCCCGCTACCAATGTCAACTAGGGGGCCACTTCTATTTTCCAACATTTTCAGCACATTCTGGACCTGAGTGGCAGTTGCAGGAACAAAGGGCAGGCACACCTTCCTCAGGGCTGGGGTCACAAAGGGGGTGACCACAGCATAGAGGGCCACCAAAGTCCCACCAACCCCAGCCGTGACCAGCAGCCCCCAGCTGCTCCTCCTGGAGCCGCCCTCGCCATCCTGCTCCGGGCTCTCCTTTGCTACCGCCTCAGACATCGCACCTGGGGGCTGACAAAAGAGTATTTTCACTAATAGCTTTATTAAACGCTCGCTTGAGATAAAGCAGTGTGTTATATCAAATAGAGAGGACATTCGAAACAAAGCAAAACAAAACCAAGAAAAAAAACCCCAGTCAAACAACCCCCTCCCCCTCCCTTATGTTCCTTTAGCCGGTTCCCAGACCCTAGGGACACGCTACAGTTGCTGAGAAGCCGAGGCACGAGGTTACACTGTTTCAGGGCAGGAGCGCAGTTTCCATGTAAGCCCACAGCCCCCCCACCCGGGAGCACCTCGGAACAGCTCTAGGGCGGCGCAGGCAGGGACGGCCCTGCCAGGGACCGCCTGGGGACCGCCTGGGAGCCTGCGCCCAGGGAAACGTCCCGGAGGAGCTCTTATTCTTCCTCCCAGGAGAAACTTTTTTCTAGGGGACGGCGACATTCACCAGTGCCCGCCTGGACACCGCAAGCACGAACAAACACTCCCAAACCAACCCACAGTCACCTTTATCCCACGGAATTTATAGGGAAGGGAAGTACCACTTCGCTATGCGGGGTGGGGGACAGAAACCTTTCCGAAGGCGCTCCGGAGAGGAACGCCGCGCACACTTTTTTCGTCGTGTATCTGCCTTCACTCTGCCGCACACACTTCTTCCGTCGTGTGTCTGTCTTCACTCCGCCGCATTCACGCCACCCAATGCGGCCCGCTGCTGCCGCGCTCAGCGCCCATATTCCACCCCCTTGGAGGAGATCCTCCCTCCCCGCCCCCGCGAACTGGGGGATGCCACCTCCCCCCACGCCGGACGCTTCCAGAAGGGTCCGCTGGGGGCGCCACAAAGGTTCCGCCCGCGAAATATGTCCCGCTGGCGCCGGCTACGCAGGCGCAGGGCCGGGCGCGGCGTCACGGCGGGCGCGGCGGCTTCCGGGAGGAGCGCGCGAGCGGCGGCGGCAGTGGCACGAGCGGGAGCCATGTCGGCCATGGGGACTCTGGCGTTTGACGAGTATGGGCGCCCCTTCCTCATCCTCAAGGACCAGGAGCGCAAGACGCGCCTGATGGGGCTCGAGGCGCTCAAGGTGAGCGAGGCGGGGCGGCCGCCAGGGCCGCTGTTTCGCCCGTGGGCCCGCGCTGGGTGGGCCGCGCCGCGCCATGCCATGCTGTGCCGTGCTGTGCTGCTGAGAGGGGCGGGTGGGAGGACGGAGCCCCTGGTGACAAGGCGGTGCCGTGCTCTCCGGCAGCCCCGCGGATGGTGCAGGGTGGATGGAGCCCAGTGTAGGCCCGCAAGCGTGGGAGGGATGGAGGGAGAGGAAAGACATCGCCCTCGGGGCCGGGAATCCGCGGCACGGCGTCCGTGCGGTCACCGTGCCGTGAATCCGCCCCGGCGTTGCGGGCTTTTGGGGCCGTAACTCCGCAGGTGGTGCAGCGCGCCCCTCTCCGCGGCTCCCGCAGCCCCTCCATGGGACCACCGGCCCCCGCCCGGAGCGGCCGCAACGGGAAGGCCGGGACTGAGAGAGTCGGCACCGTGTGAGAGTGCGGGTGATACAAATAGCGAGGGACAAGCGGAGAAAGCATTGGCACAGATTGCCCAGGGAGGCTGTGGGTTCCACATCCCTGGCAGCGTCCAAGGTCCCGTTGGATGGGGCTCTGAGCATCCACCTGAGTGGAAGGTGTCCCTGCCCCTGGCAGGGGGTTGGAACTTCAAGGTCCTTTCCAACCATAATATGGTGATTCTGTGATGAGTAAAATTGCGCTGACTTCTCCTTGTAGCGTTGCCTGCTCCTGTTGCTGCCCTGCTTTAAACATGGATACTGTCACTTTGGCTGCTCTACATGCTTTAGCAGAGCCAGCACAAGCAATACGAGAAAAGCCATAGGAAATGTTTCTGGCATAAAGATAATACGCATATATTGATGTCTTTTTTTCAGTCATAATTGGTTGTTCTCAGTTCAGTTACAGTATTTGCGTTACTTTATCTTTCTTATCTTATTGTTATCATTTCAGAATGCATGGTAATGATTTATCTTCTTTTTCCTTTGTTTTTTTAGTCTCACATAATGGCAGCAAAGGCTGTAGCAAGTACTCTAAGAACATCCCTGGGGCCCAATGGTAATAAAACACTTCTGCTGGTTCTCTCTTAGTAATTGTTTTGAAGGATTTTCTAGATTTTCTTTCATGCTTTGAACATGTATTTTTAGGCTTGGATAAAATGATGGTGGACAAGGATGGTGAGGTGACTGTGACAAATGATGGTGCTACCATCCTGAATATGATGGATGTGGATCACCAGATAGCCAAACTTATGGTGGAGCTGGCTAAATCTCAAGATGATGAAATTGGGGATGGAACTACTGGAGTTGTTGGTAAGAAAGTATTTTAAATTTAACTAAGATTTTTCAGCTTTAAAATCAAGTTTCTGCAGCTATTTTGAGAAATTTTGTGTGAAGTAACAGTAGCTTTTCTGTAGCACTTCTTTAGAGTATTGCTGCAGTGTCCTTTTAGGTTCTTGTCTTAGAAACGCTTAAATCAGAAAGACACTTTTGTGTCTTTTCTGAGTATTTTAAGGTAATGCTGAGAGCCCTCTTTGTACTTTAAACATTTTTCTGCATAGTTTTCTTCCATAATCTTCTACGTGTCCTACCTTGGTGCCTGTGCTTCATTTTGGTCTTAACATTAATGGTGTTTTCTTTCTAAGCATAGCAAGTAGTAGGTTGTTTAGAGTTACTTTGTTATTTAGGAAACCTTGAACTCCTATAATATTACAGAAAAAATGAGAAACCATGCTTTTTAATGTGTTGATAATGTATTAAAAATGATGGTCCAATCAAGGGTGAAACTTACTTTAATTTTTTTTTTGTAGTTCTGGCTGGAGCATTATTGGAACAGGCTGAGCAATTACTAGATCGAGGTATTCACCCCATCAGAATAGCAGATGGTTATGAGCAGGCAGCCCGCATTGCTATTGAGCATCTAGACAAAATCAGTGACAGCTTTCCAGTTGATCCACAGAACATTGAGCCTCTGATCCAGACAGCAAAGACGACTCTAGGCTCTAAAGTGTAAGTCACAGAAACTTCAGAATATTTAAGCTTCCCTTGAAAACTCTTTGAGTGGTTTTCAAAGAGTTTTGAAAGGAGAAATCTTGTTGTTTTGATGAATTATTAAATTGTTTGCATTGTTGAAGTGCTGCTGAAGGCCCTCTTACGTTTCATTTTGGCTAATTTCTCAGTGGACTCATGTTGTGAATCCTTTGTCTCGAAATGGTCAATTCCATAAAGTTAAACAGCGCAGAATCAGCTTCATTCGAACCTGTTAGTTCCAGATTTCTACATCACAACAAATTCCAAGAGTAATGTAAATCTCATAAAAATAATTATGTGTAATGTTTCAGAGGTTTTGTTTGTTGTGGGGGTTTTTCTCCTAAAAAAATTTTACCTCAGAATAGTTCCATAAGTTTATTTTCCTTTATGGATTCTGTGTGTAGTTCAGATGTTGGAAGGGCTTCCTTTGCAGGACTGTCTTAACAGTAGTTTCTGTCATTTGAATGCTTATTGGTAGTTAGTGCTCCTCACTGTATTGAGTCCACAAAGGCTGTTTACAGCAACTCTATTGTGTGTTCTGTTTTCTGCCATATCCAGCACCTTTTATTTCTGTGAACAAGCAGACAGGACCCTCACTTTTAATGTTGAGTGCAAAAGTTTCTAGCTATAGTGATACTTTCTGCTGTTTGAGATTGATAGAATCACTTTTTTTTTTCCCAGATTGAAGAAATGTAATGCAACCTAATTGTATTTTTTTTTTAAATGTAGAGTTAACCGTTGTCACAGACAAATGGCAGAAATTGCCGTGAATGCTGTACTGACAGTAGCAGACATGGAACGTAGAGATGTTGATTTTGAGCTGATCAAGGTACAAGGCAAAGTGGGAGGTAGACTGGAAGATACACAGTTGGTTAAAGGAGTGATTGTGGATAAAGATTTCAGTCATCCACAGATGCCTAAAGTAAGTGATGTCCCTGTGTGTGTCTGTCACATGTAATGGCTTAAATAAGATTGTCTTCACATGCTGTCTTGGCATTTGTTTAATATTTAAACAACCTTGTGGTTTGGCTTGGCTTTTTACCCATGTATCAACAGAGGAAGGGGAGAGCAGTGTGGAATTCTTCATGTTGGAAGTTTAGAATTTACAATAATATTGAAAGATTATGGCAAGGGGAGGAATTGCTGTCCTACTATGTGAGGACAATTGCAGAGTTCTACAGTAAAGCAGAAATACTCATCCATAGTGTGTGATAGGCTTAATATGCTTAATAAAAGTTAATATCAAGAAGTGCTTCTTAATCTTTAAGTTTCCACGTTGTGCTGTTTGGAACACCCCAGAAACTGTCCTTGTATTATATTTAGTGTAGATAAGGTCTCCAAGTCTTTGGGCAGTGGGCAGTGTACTGTAAGAAAAATGGAGGCAATTAAAAACTTCTACTATTCTTAACTGTTTTTCTAGCTGGTGACACTGTTTATTCTGTAAAAAAAGGAAGACTAGTGAAAAATATCAGTCACATAGTACTTGAAGTGTTGCTATAAAAATTATTAGTATTGTCAGTCGTCGCTGTGGATAGGGCGAATAACAGTTTCATTGAATTTTTCCTGGTTTTTAAACATTAAACTATAAAAAGACATCACTGTTAAAGATTGTTAAGGGCTTAAACAGCGTCTAATTTATTCTAAGAGGGTTACAGAGATTATTGACAGAATTATTTAGTTATAGTTAGTTCCACTTGAGAATAAGTTAGATGGTCTTCACATTTCTTCCTATGCCCGTGTTTATAAAGATATGTCTGTAAGTTTTGCAAATATAAGAAAGAGGTGCTAATGAGGTCAAAACTCAACTTTTGGGGTTTTTTTTGAATTGCACAGGAACTAAAAGATGTTAAAATTGCAATCCTTACTTGTCCATTCGAACCACCTAAGCCTAAAACCAAACATAAGCTTGATGTCACATCTGTGGATGACTACAAGGCACTGCAGAAATATGAAAAAGAGAAGTTTGAAGAGATGGTGAAGCAGGTAGTCTTCAGGATTATTTCTGTTTTCTTTGTCTTTTGTAGCCTTTACACAAAATAGCATAATGCATTGATTTATTCCTGGAAAGGCCTCCTTATAGGAGGCAACATACAAGCAATTGTAGTGCTATGAATAAAAGCTTAAGTTTATGTAAGAAAGAGATGCCACATTGGTTTAAAATATATTTTGATCTCTATGTATGCCAGAGGGTTCTTCTTCAGAATTCTGTTTTGAGAAAATTATGATAATTAAAACCACAAAGGGATTGTTTTTCATTTCTGTGTTAGCTCTGATCAGAAGATTGATGATTTTTGTTGATTTCAGATAAAAGACACTGGTGCAAACCTTGCTATTTGCCAATGGGGTTTTGATGATGAGGCAAATCACTTGCTGCTCCAGAATGAGCTGCCTGCTGTTCGTTGGGTTGGTGGACCTGAAATAGAAGTAAGTAAAATTGGGCATTGTACCAGTTGTCAAACATTTGTTAAATAATAGGCTGTACCAGCTAAAAGTTCAGGCTTTCTGGGTAGAACTGTAATTGTGTGCATGGGTGGCTATTGGAGAAAAATCATTGGGGATCTGTGGAGGAACATACAGCAAATGGGATTATGGTTTATAATTGCAGTTTATGTATGTGACTTTAGATGTCTAGGAACGTTTCTGCTTCAGTCTTGCAGTTTGCAGAAACAAAGCATCGCCTGAAATACTTTCAAGTGGTGGGAAGATAAGCTTTTGTAGTAGGC